CGAAAATCACACCGATGGACCGATCGAGTTCATTTATCGATCGGTCAAATGGTCCAGCCGTAACAAGGGGCCTGGTGCTNCACCTTTTTTTACAGCTGTGAGTCTGAGGCAGGCCCAGTGAACTTCAACTGTGTAGCAGGCGTGCCATCAGTACTCGGATGGACTGGACGTAACAACGAGAGCATTATAAAACGTACAAGTCGGTAATCAGACAGTCTCGTGTTGGGGTGAGAGATTTTAAGCGCCGCCGATCGCGGAATATGATCCAATCAGATCGCATTAAGGGTCAGAGGGAATTTACTTGCTTAAAGTCACGGGTGAGAGGGACGAGACGACTGAAAACGATGGAGTTCAACATCCCAATGTTTTTGCGTGACCAAACACATTCCCTTTATTGTTGCACTACTCATGAGTAGGGTAAATATATACATATATGTATGTGTTCTTTGACTTTGGCGAGCGACTCTACCTATCGGTCGACACGTGCGTATCGTTCCAAGTGTTTTTTCCTTCAATAGAGCTTTGGAGCTCACAGATTAACAAAATAAATCCACGCCTTGCCAAAAAGAAAGTTTCTGTTTGTTCAACCGTTAACCATGCAACTTCGTACATTTCTCTAACCATGTGGGTGTCGCTAACCGCCGGTGACTGAACTGCTGCAGATACACTTGACCCTTCACGGATAGCCGGATGTCGCTACGGTACCACATATGTCTGAGGTTGACAAATGCCAATCGAACCTTCTGTATGCGGGTCAACATCCGTGAATCCTCCACCGGGTGAGATACACCTACCCAAATAACAAAACTTGTCCACTTGCNCTATTATTTTCCCGCTTAGAGTGAAGCTGGGAGCTGAACCAACTCATTTCTGTAGCAGCGTTTTGCACTTTGAAGGTGCAAACCCATACCGAACACTAGCACTCAAACTATCCAGAAAAGCTTGCAACTTACTTGGATGTTCACTTAGCAGCACAATGTCGTCTGCATACTCCAGGTAAGATAATCTACCACTTCAACGCTGCTGTCCTCACCCGAGGACAGGGCTGTTTCCGGAATCAAACCTATAACAAACTTAAGTTGGAAAGACTAGATCGGGCAACCGTGACGAACACCACTTTCTGTGGTTAACTCGGGCGAAAATGTGCCGTAAGCTCAAACTCGGCTTCGGCTAGTTAGTATAAGGAGATAGAAAACTTGATGCAGAAACATTTTGCTATCGGAATCTTTAATTGCCTCACCTACACCTACTTTACGTGGATCAGAAATACTTTATATACGCAAAAGAGTTCGACCACTACCGATAGTCCTAGCTTTCTCTGTCTTGTTGTGCTTATTCCTGGAAATCTTAATGATCTAACTCTAGGGCTTTGTCCGCTGCCTCATATTTTCCATCTGGGGGAATGGGTCTGCGGGTTTCTAGCAAGGCAGCAGTGGTTGACGGAATCCATCATTTGTGAGTTAACCCTCTCGCAGTTGTTTTATCGATTTTATCATAGCTTCCTTGATTTGTATCCAGCGTTCATTGAGTCCTACGACTGATGGTTGAACTGATAGGCGATCGGAGAGTTCCACTTCGAAGGCCAATTTGCAACTATCGCTGGCATTTTATCGTGGGTATCCGTTGCCCGTGGCTTTATTGCGGTTGTTTATCAGGCATGGGGAGAATGTAGCTCGTAACAAGGTGTGGTCGGTATCCACGGATGTTGAATAGTGAGAACGGCAGTCTTGAATTGACCTCCTCCAGCGGTAACTGGTGGCGATGTGGTTTATTTTGGTCCCTCGCTGTGAAGAGTTTGGGGGTTTCCTAATACGCCAGTGTCGTATCTTGTGTGATAATTTGGTGCTTAATAGGAACGATCCGTGGTCTGCGCACGGTTGTAGTAGCCGATCTCTGTTGTCGGGCTGGTCAGTTAGGATTACATGTGCAAGTCAAGAAGTCTTCTTGATTCGTTCAGGAATCCCATTTGAGCATTGAATTCTCCTGCGACTACTACGATGTCCATTGATCGAACACTTTGAGTGATTGAACAAGATCCCTGTAGAATCCATCCTTCATTTCACTCCAACCGCAATCGGTGGGTTCAGCAACATGACGAATAAGCATCGTTTTGTAGTTGTTGATCCGCACTGAACAAGACCGCAGTTTGCCTCATTAAGTTCCCTCGGGGTTAACTTCCTGAGGTTATGCACACCATAGATACACCAAAGTTGCCCCACAGTTCGCTTTAGAATCAAGATTTCTTAGGAAAGCTTGTTTGATTAGTCTTTATGAGAGGCAAACGCCGTAGGTCTTGGCAATGTTCACGTTGTCGTTGATGTTTTGGTACTTTGTTTGTGTACTTTACCGGTTGAAAAGGTATAATTCTGTGAAAAACAACGGTGAAACCAACACAGATCACCAAGCAGTGCATGTTGTGACGTCTAATTCCGGTGAATAGGTTATACGGTACCAGCGGAGTGTTAGAGTAGAGGAAATATGGTTTATTTCAAATTCCACAAAACCATGTTTATCACCAGTAACTGCTGCAGCGAAGGTCTATTTCGTTCAGTTTACGTTGCCCCTCTTATCTAGAACACGTTGAAAAACAGCGATAATCAGATTCACGTTAGAAACCTATACAAAATTAGATACCATTGAGCTCTATTCGCTCTAATACAGACTGATCCCAAGAGCTGTTTCCTAAGGTAGCACAACTATTGGTTCTCCTTAAACTTTAGCTGTTGCTTATTCCCTAATGAACAGAGAAGCAACGTCGTGTTTGCGTGGGTAGCGGTTTTTAATGTGATAAAAACTGATGTAAGTACAACATTAAACCTTACTTTTCTGTTACTGAAATGGTGTCGCTAACTTCCGCTGTTAGAAAAAATCGAAATTTTTCATGGATTGCCAAACATCGGTCGATAGATTTGAGTGGCAAGCACCTTCAAAATCTTCATTATTTTAAATCAAGGCTAATAATTTTTGTGATCAATTTCGCAAAATAATAAATAATATATCAATACATGAAGTCAGTATTCCACATGCAATTCCGTGTATTTGCTTCATTGAACGCTTGTTTGTATGGGCAACAGAACATGAATCCGGTTGTTTGTATCTAAAAATGTAGGAAGTACATCTGTGTAATTGCCTTGAAGTAGGAATTTACTGTTATGTGTTGTCAATCAGCTTTCAAACATTCAATTCCAACGCTCTTATTGCCGACCTCTCCAAATCAGAAACCTACGAAATCAGCGCGAAATTTGTATTCCAACGCGTTCAGCTGCGTTATAGTTCAAGAGAACATGGGGATTGTTTCTATGAATTAGCCTTGAGTATTCTACCATATGTGCTCGATAACAGATATTGGAACTTTCCAGAGCAAAGGTGATGAGCAAATTGTGAACAAACGTAAACTTGCACATTCTAACAATCCACAAAATCTTTCTAATGTTCGGTGGATTCTTGCCAATTACTTTCGTTTGTTCATCGAAACGGGTCAATTTCTGGGAGATTTTCGCCATCCCAACCTCCAAATCTGAAAAGCGAAGTGGAGTGTGCGGACGGATATACAGTGAACTTCCAAGTGTGCACTCGGAAACCCTCTGGCTATATGTTTTGATATTGCCGTTGTAACAAAAATGCGTGACTAGGGTCATATACCCTTTTCACAGTATCGAACATATTTCATTCCGTTATGATGGAACTGATTTCAGTTTCTGTATGCAAACTCCCTACAGTTTTGGCGGGACGCATGGATAGGTACTTAGAAGGGTTATCCCTTTTGAAAAATGAAAATAGTTTTCCGTTTTGCGCCATGCAACGTTCTAATTGATGTGAAAAAAACTTTTCAATCGTATCAACGAACACTATCACTCGATCCAGTGGAACAATTGTTTTTTTACTACCATAATTTTGAAACCAGTTTGAGCACCACTTTGCCTGCTGAGTATATATGGTCACTTCCATGTTATTCATAAGTAGTCTGCCGCTAACAGTTGTTGTGTCGTGTCGTTCGGGGCTGCATATCGGTGTAATCCGGGTTGGTATCCTGTACAAATTTACAAAATCTACTCGCTATTTGCCGCACTTCGAATCCCTGTTCAATCCATTGTCTCCTCTAGAGTTTGGAAACTGTAGAACCACGTGATCACGCGGTGGCTACCGAATCATATGGAGCTCTGACACGTCGAAGACTGGAATGGCATCCGGATAGAATTTTATGCAAGCGTATCAATGTTCCGCACCCATATCCAGAGTGAGTCTGAATTGTGTTGTTCTTTCTCCGTTTTTGCGGTCCTCATCGAGTAACTGGTTGATCTTTTTAGTTACGATAGCCGAAAATACTCTAAATGTGCCTCACTTACGCAATAACGTCTGTCCAAGTGCTTCAATCATTTTCCCTATATGAACGCATTGCCATGTTTAAATGGTTCTGGAATGGTCAGATTACCAGGTAGAAACTCACTCGTCTCTAGCCGAACTGTATTTTAGGTATATTATGTTCGTGTTTATGCTAATTTCTGCGGGTTTGTTGATACCCTTGGATTTTATGTTTTCCATCTTCTCTATTATCTATCGAGTTCTACGGGGTACATTTTCATATCCTAAATGGTCAATGGGTACAAGCCAGAAACAACCGAATCCGGTTTCGCACCTCCTAGATCATTCACTCACCTCTTGCGAGGTTACTGCAGCAAATAAACGTGTAGAGTTGCAGGTGACCAGTCAACCTCTCTCCGCTAGATGCTCGTGGAAGCAACATCCTGGAACTTTCTCTCGACGGTGGGCGAATTCTCGGTACTTCATTGGACAATTTCAGTTTTTACAGCTGTCGACCATGCACTTTCATGCACCGATTTTGGTTACTGTCTTTTGGCCGCCCATTTGAATGCAAGAGTAGAAGGACGATTGGTATGTTGAGAGCAAATTCAAGCGGAAGATAGGGAATTCATATAGACTGAGGTTGCGAGAATAATGAGTAGATGCATGAGAGCCACTGTTTACAACACCCAGCCATATCGCTCGGTGTCTCTAACAACCGATGACGATGATCTCGGGATCCCCATCCAGGGAGCCTGACGGAATCTATGTGACCCAGTGTCCTGGTTAGGGTTTTCATACCCTCACGCCAGATCTTAGTTTGACCGCCCTTGCCTTTCTTCCACCCACTACTTGCATCGGCGAACATCGCTCGCCGTGGTAACCTATCTATTGACATGCGTAACACATGTCCCAACGAGCGTAATCTATGGAGGTCAACTACTTACTCCCGTGGACAACCGCGTTTACGTAAACTCTACGCCTCAGCATTATTCGTCCGTTTACCCCACCAGACTCGTGCAATGTGACGTAGACATCGGTGTTCGAACACCCACAATTTATTTTCATCCCGTTTCCGTAGTGACCCAGTCTCTGCACCCTAGAGCAGTATTGACCGAACTGCTGCAGCATATACCCGACCCTTCACGGACAGCCGGATGTCGCGACGGCGCCACAGATGTCTCAAGTTGGCAAATGCCAACCGAGCCTTCTGTATGCGTGCCGGCACTTAATCTGTCACGTGTCCGCCAGGTGGGATATAGCTTCTCAGATAGCAAAATTTATCTAATTTCCCCTGTTACTTTCCCAGTCGTGGTTAGGTTGGGGGCTGGGCCAACCCAATCTTGTAACAGCGTTGTACACTTTGAAGGTGCAAAGCGCATGCCGAACATGGCTACACTAGCACTGAAACTATTCAGAAAAGCTTGCAACTTATATGGATGTTCACTTAGCGACACAATGTCGTCTGCATACTCCAGATCAGACAGTCTGCCACCTTGGAGTAAATCGATGCCGCTATCGTAGCACGAGGACAGGGCTGTTTCAATAAATAAATCTTTGACAAAGTTAGATAAAAAGTGAGAAACAGAGCACCCGTGACGAACATCACTTTCTGCGGTGAACTCGGGCGAAAAAGTGTTGTGAGTTCGGACTCGGCTCCGGCTATTAGTATAGAGCGGTTGTAATAGTGAAATGAAGTTCTCGGGCACACCCTTTAGAGCGAAGCAGCGCCAGAGCTTGGAGCGGTCGACTGCGTCGAAAGCCGCTGTTAGATCGAGAAGATAGAACTAGTAGGTCCAGGAAAAGGATGCCTGTATTCTAGAATTTCACGAAGAGTAAAAATGTGGTCTATGAAACCTCGACCGGGTCTACCAGCTTGATTCTCACGTGTGCACCGTCCACGTACGTGCTTTCACATTGACGCTGCTTCCTATAGCCCACTCTTGCTTTTACCTTAGCATCGACATGGATAGGCCAGAAATAGCTACTAAGACCACCGAACGAAAAGGCATGGTTAGTGGTTATGTAAGCTAAATTTGAAGCTGATCTTGGAAACCGAGTCTACACGGTGGCGGCTTTTTCTTCGGGATATGCGTCTTCATTCATCAGCCTCGGGCCAATTCATACTCTACATGGAATTCGTCATCTTGATATTTAATCTTGCTCGATTTCGACCTTTGTGTATGTAGCCCCATCCAAACACTTTGAACTTCGTCCAGCGTTAAATTTCCTGGGTATTTTCTTCCATTGATTAGTCATATTAGTCTGCTCGTGTTGAAATTTGATTAAACCCGACAGCTCTGAATTCTTCCAGTTAATTTTTGCGGGAGAACAGACAAGTAATGACTCATTTTCTACCGCAGTTAGAACTTTCATTTGCCTGATTTGATTAATTTCGACTTGATTGAATCCAACTTAGCTGACGACCTAGTGGTGCTTGCTGATCGCCTGTTTTTCTGCACTCTCACTCATAGTGTGGTTGACCGAAATATGGGTTTGCACGATGTATCAATGGTCATTTCGGTGTATGTGTACACGTGTATACTACAGTCAAAGTTATTTTTATATAGTCAGTAAGATAACTACCGTGAAATGAAAACATGATTGCTGATCACAACGCACAACACGACACAGTAACACAAAGAACGGGAGAATGAGTGTGTTTGGTGGGGGGGGGGAGAGTAATCATCAAGGCAAAGCTGATGTGACTAACCGTTCACGTTGTTTGCATAGATCAGGTTTGACAGTATGAATGGCTAGAGCCTCGGCAAATTTCAGTAACTTGGTGTTGGTTGTGTTGTAGATGACCTGAAATGCGTGAGTTGGAGTGACACAATGTTTTTGTTCTAATAAGTGATGTGTTATGGAAGATCTTGGTCTTTTCTGCTCATTCGATGACGTAATAGTTTTAAACTTGTCGTCCATCGCTTGCCTAAGCCACACCCGGATGTGTTCGGCCATTCAGTGACGTAATTACCTCCCTGAAGATGCAATGATATTGAATCTAAAAGTGCTTAAATCCGTTTTTGGTCAATTGTCAAATATGAAGCCACCGAATTAGGATAATTTGGGCTGGTTTAAAGGAAAACTAGTGGATATAGAGAATCAATACCGAATAACAAGCACAAAATAGAACTCCTCATTTACCGATGAACACATCGACGGATGAAAACAATTGAAAGCTATCGAAATATTCTAGTTCTGCTCCCCGACAAGGGTTCCGGTGTAGTAGTGATGTATAAGTCAGACTACAAATAAAAGATCGTGCATCTCTTACGGGAAAGCAAGTTTAACCCTGACAGTACTCCAGACGATCCAAGTGAATTAGAGAAAAGAGTTTGTGCGAACTGGAAACTCACACAAACACAGGCGAACCTTATACAAGAATCACCGGCAAAATGTTTGCGCTCGAGGGGAAGACAAACATTACAGATGTACGGTTTACCGAAGCTGTATAGAAAAGGCGTTCCATTACGACCCATTCTGAGCATGATCAATTCACCCCAACATGCATTCGCAAAGCGGTTAGCTAAAGTTCTGGTACCGGTGACAGATTCCGTTGCTCGACGTACCGTCAAAGACAGCTTTGAGATGAGTAAACATCTGACCCAGAGAAATATCCAACGAAAACAAATGTTTACAATGGATGTCACAAGTGTTCCGCTGTATGGGATTATTTGTAAGACGATTGAGGAAAAGAAATTGCAGGTCAGGTTACTCATCAGGGGATTATCACGACTGCTACTTTTATGCGCGTCAAACATTTAATTTTCGTTCCTCGAACAAGGACATTGGCAGATAGATGGGGTCGCCGTGGGTGATCCGCTGGGATCGATTCTTGGGGATATTTTCCTCGGTCACCTAGAAGGAAAGCTTGAAGATATTTCAAAACTAGATCTATACTGTCGTTATGTTGATGACGTCTTCGTTATAAGCCGTATGAAGGAAGACGAGGGAAACTTATTTAATCGACTCAACACCATTCGCCCCAACATCACACTAACTCGTTACGATGAACAGGACGACCGCATCGAGTTTCTAGATATAGACATTAATCATCGACCAGATGAATCAATTAAAAGATTTATCTTCTGGAAGAAAACGTGGTCTGGGCAATATTTGCATTTCACGAGTTTCGTCCGTGTGCGATACAAGACTGGTCTATTTCATCCAAGGCGTGAAATGTGTTCAGAGGACTCTTCAAACGATAAAATTCGTCTCTTAAAAGAAGTTCTGTACGCAAACGGACATCTGTTTGTATTCATCGCCAAACATTGCAAAGCAGCACCAACAGTATAAAAAGCAATAACTTCTCCCAAAATGAAAACCTTTTTGAAGTTATCATACAAAGGCGTGATTGAATTAGTCAGCAAGCGGTTGAACTCTGCCGTAAAGCCTGTCTACTACGCAGTTGACCCAGTCATTGTCTTCACTACCACCCGGATACCATCGACATCGATGAAGGAACCATTGCCCCCCTCCGCCAAATCAAACTGCATTTACCAATTCAAGTGCGGATGCTCAGCCATCTACATAGGCAGGGCAGATAGGCAGTTACGTCACCGAATGGCCGAACAGATCCGGGTGTGGCTTAGGCAAGCGATGGACGACAAGTTTAAAACTATTACGTCATCGAATGAGCAGAAAAGACCAAGATCTTCCATAACACATCACTTATTAGAACAAAAACATTGTGTCACTCCAACTCACGCATTTCAGGTCATCTACAACACAACCAACACCAAGTTACTGAAATTTGCCGAGGCTCTAGCCATTCATACTGTCAAACCTGATCTATGCAAACAACGTGAACGGTTAGTCACATCAGCTTTGCCTTGATGATTACTCTCCCCCCCCCCACCAAACACACTCATTCTCCCGTTCTTTGTGTTACTGTGTCGTGTTGTGCGTTGTGATCAGCAATCATGTTTTCATTTCACGGTAGTTATCTTACTGACTATATAAAAATAACTTTGACTGTAGTATACACGTGTACACATACACCGAAATGACCATTGATACATCGTGCAAACCCATGTTTCTGACAAACTATTCGCTTTATCTCACATTTTCTTTAATGCAAGGTTTTGTGCATTTATTCATAAATACGTTGTTGTCCACACCTTTCGACTTTTAACATCGGCCACCATGACGTAACCTGTAACTTCGATCTCTTTATGATTATTATCATTATCATTCTCTATCAGTCTTCAAACTGTACAGATTGCTCCTTTTTAACTATTCGGCTGAGGCTGCTGAGTGCTCTATGGTTAATAACCACAGTTTCTATGTTGCATTCATTAAGGACTTCGGCTTGAATACCCATCTGCCTATTGGGCTGCCAAACTGCAGCGTTTTTCATCTTGAACAGTTTGTTCCGGTGATCCGCTTCCTCATTCGACTTTCACATCAGTCCCAAAATTGTGTTCACATTTCTCTTTTCACCTCCATTCCTTTTTTCTGTACAAATAACGTTCCCTACTCCCGCTGGGCATATCGGACCACTGTCTTGCTACTTGCCTTCTCGAACTCTGTACTCTAGATACCATCCGGCTCTAGACTCATTTTTGGCGTTATGATTATGCAGGCTGGAATACGGCCTCTGATCGGACTGTTGTTTGCTCCTGACCACCACACGACCATCACTGTCTTTGATATCGTATTACAGTCTGTGCGCCTGTCTGCCCCGCATTTTTACAATCCGGGTTCCCCGAAAGTTATGGTTGTTTTCTCCATACCGCAATGTGACCACTCATTCCAACCGAACAACTATCGTTCCAGCTCTCTGTCAAGCTTTCAGTTAAGAAAGAAACCACTGTCACAAAAAAAGAAAAAGAATTGGGAAATCAAACAGAAATGTGAATTAACTACAAAGTGCATTAGAAAGCTCAGAGCAAACACTCTTCTCATGGGTCAGTATCCGGACAAGATAGGGTGCCTAAGAGTTTCTGTAGGCAGATAACCGAGATGAGATGAGTTTGTAATTGGAACGGGTGGATGGGTGCGATTTGCCTGCACACTAATCAATATGTAAAGAACGGGTGCAATCAGGTAGAATCTTGTAAGGAAAATTCAAGCATGCGACAATACGACCATCACAGATATTGTCAATCAGAACAGATAACAGAACTTTGGAAACGCGGCTGGTCATTGAGATGCCACGCTTCAGTAACTTGAAATCAGCCTTCAGCAAACCAGGGAAATGACAGAGGGCAGTAAAGGGGTATTGGGACAACACATTGTTGAATAAAAGCGTCTATCACCAACAGATAAGAACAAAAGTGGCACAGTCTTCTTTTCTGAAAGGAGAGAACTTTCAGCTTGCGAGCAACACTTTAGGTATGCAAAGACCAGCGAAGGTTACTTTCAGGTGTGACACCTAAGTACTTCACATAGCTCGCCAGCTTTCGTTGAATTCGTACATGGTAGGAGGGAGATGGGGAACCGCTTAAAGTAAAAATACTCTTGAGCCATTTTTCGGGATTAAGATTAATACCGAATAAAGTGGAATACGTAACGGGGTGGGATAAGCTTCTGTTATATGCCGCCAGTTCTGACTGTTTAGATACGAAAACAGAGATGGCGATATCATCAAGCATACTTAAAATGTCGCACAGGGGTTGTGATAGGTAAATCACTGATATAAGTCGGAAAAATATAGGATGATAAGACAGCACCGTAAAGTACACCTGGACTATTGAGTAACGTCGTTGATTGTGTTCTTCCCAATTTAACATATCAATAACTTTGCTAAAAGTAATCATCAAGTCATTCAAGAAGAGAAGTGGGACAGCCAAACGATTGGAGCTTTTTAAGTGAAGGAGAACGGGGCACTGAGTCAAAAGCAGAAGAATGATCGAGAAATGCACCGTACACATATTTGGCTTTCTCGTTTCTTGACTTGCGGATGAAGTGAACTATAGAGGAAACGACATCCAATGCGGAGAGATTCTATTTGTATGCAAAATGAGAAATTTCATCGGGGCTGGTTGGAGATGTCTGAAGGAGATGCAGAACTGCTTGCTTCATCAATTTCAACCCAGTGTAAGTGAGAGCAGCTGGTCCGAAATGTTTCGCAATTGAGACCTTTGTCGTTCCTTTGGGGATGGATGTGATTCTCAACGGGCACCGGCCATCCGGAATAGTTCGGAGTTCGAGTGAAAGATTAGCTGTGTGCAATAATATGAGACGCCTCTGTCACTAATCCTTGAAACGTTTTACCCGTGTAAATGTGATTTCACCGGTAAATTGTTTATATCAAAATGTTACTTGAACTCCACACTCTGTACCGGGATACTTGGTTATATTTTTCTATCTTGACGTACTCTCACGTGTTCCCATTTGCAGTTCAACATTTGTCGGTTGTCCGGACGAGCGGCGTCCATCTAATCAGCCTTGGCGACGGAATCGTCGCGGTAGTTTTACTGCTCTCGGCAGCCACAATAAGTTTTCCTTGTTCGATTTGCTGGATGTGAATCGGGGCACGGAACAGGGCACAGAGGGAACAGGTAGTGAAGAAGAGGAGGAATCGCCTGAACTAAGCCACATAGATGTCAATAAATCACACAAAGGGACCAACTCATCTGTGGATAAAGCCGATTTCAGTCAACCACCTGCACCTTTATTTGCGGCACTGTTCGAAGCCGCAGCTGATGCTGCAAAAGACTCTCCGAGTTCCACCTCTGATCCTCGTGAAAGTTCATCTGCTACTACAGGGGAAAGGAAACAGAACTTTGGCTCAACTGCGGTAAGTGTACTTACTCGGTTATTCTCTCTGTGTGACAAATAAAACAAAAAATGTTCGACCGTTGTGTTACCAGGTCGACCCACGAGAACAGTTGCATGTCCATTAGGGTAATCTACTGTATTCGTGCCACTCAGTGCCAAATGTGTATGTAGGCTCTGCGCACCACAAAACGCGATTGTATAGGGATTCCGTTGTAACTTTGAGTTGCTTTTTTATGACAGTGAACCGAGATTTGTATAACTGCCAGTGTTTTATTAGTGGCACTTGCGGGCCACTCAAACATAAAACAACGCCGTCAATTTCGCTAGATGCTTGCGGACTAGGTTACATGACCTTTTGAATGCTTGGCTTGTCGGTTGTAAGGTGAGTCATTACCAAGGGTGTCTCTACATTGATTTGTTCCCGCTCAGTAATAACGTTCCATCTGGTTCCCTTTCATGTGACTGAGAAATCTTCATGTCATTAAACTAATGTGCTCCGAAATGTTTCTACTCCCAGCTAATTATTATGTTCTTATGTAATTTGCTGAAATAAGTTGATTAAAATACCACTAATGTGACAATAATAATGGTGGTGATAATATTACCACTAACCCTAATAACAGCAATAATAATATTGCAATCTATTGACTAGAAATATCCGAAAATAGTTGTTCGCTCACCGACTCGTTTTCTCAGCTTATATGAGGTTGTCTGTGAACGTGCTGTGAGAAAGTTACGGCACCGTTGTTGGGTTTCAAATGTAATGATCACCATCCGACTACTACCACCTGTGCTGAGTTTTTGCGTATCTCACAGAAGTGTGCTTTGAACGATTAACTTGCCACTCTATTTTTATACTGTTATTACAAATATATACAAACATGTTTTGCATGCCACTTTTATGCAAAGTTTTACTGTTCTGACACTGGAACTATGACACTGAGTAGAACTCAGAAGCACGAACCCTGTTCGGTCTATCTGTTGGAAACTAGTGCTCCACAAAGGTAAAACAAACGCGATACAAAGAAACGGAATCAAACCGTACACTTTATTAAAACTGACTGTTCTTTTTGAAACCGCTCCCGCTCATTTCCAGCCATTTATACTCTATATCTTCCCTTTCATGTTTCGATGTCATTCCGTTGGCACCGTACTTCTGCCCCAAGTCCAGGTTATATATATATATATATATCTATATATCTATATATAT